ACCTTTAACTAACTTACTACCTTTAACTTGTTACCGCTACTTTTAGCTTATACTTTTAATTTAGTACCCTTAATTTTAAATCAAATGCGCTTACAAAATATAGCCGATAACTAAAACAAAAATATTCCTGACAGTAAAATAAATTCTTTCTGCTATCTAGTAATAAAAATACAATCCTAGCAACTGCAATAAAAACCAGTAATAGCAAAGAATAGTAACGAGCAAAGCATAATAACAAAACAACGTGGGTTTTAAAAACGAGATAATGTTTAAACCTCTTAATTTAATCCGAATATATTGATTATAACTCTAGCATCGCCAACCTAGAAAAATTTCGCTTAGCAAAGTTTTTTAGATTGGTAATGCTAGAGGATTTGTGATAGTATCTTATTCCTTATACTTACATCTTTTAATCCAAAAAATAGATGCCGCATAATGAAAGTATATCCAATTTCAAAGACCTCAGTAATTTTGAGTTTGGTGAATCAACACATAGTCTTGAGTCTGATGAGCCGATATATGATCTTGAATTTAATAGACCAATGTATAATTCAGTAGTTGTTGTTTAAGAAAATAAAGATATCAGATTGGACTGTTTTAAAGAGAAGTTATACGAAGGAATAGTATTTAAAAGTTGGGAAGAAGCATCTGACACATTAAAACTATATTCTCAATATGAAGGGTTTAAGCTAAGGAAAGGACGTGTTGAAAAGACTTCTAATGGAACTATACGAAAAAGAACAATGTTGTGTGAACACAGCGGCAAATATAAATCTAAAAACATACAATTAACTAAAGAAACAAGCACAAAATATATCAAATGTCTGTGGCATGTAAATTTGTCACAACCGCAGAAGAATAATCCTAATGGAAATGTTTATATTACTACTTTAGACAATAGCTATAATTATGACTTGTCTCCTTATAGAACAAAATTTTTAATGATAGTGAACTTACCCAAGAAATGTATAATAGGGTAGAATTTTATGTGAATACTGTTAAGTTAAAGCTGCTACAAATTCAGAGGGCTTTACAAAAAGAATTTCCTGACCACGAAGTTTACCTTTCTGAAATTCATAAAGCAACAGCAAAATATTATAGTGGGAAATGAAAGGATATGTTAAATGATACTGCATCATTGTACGAAGAATTAGTAAGAAGAAAAAATGAAGATCCTCGATGGTATGTTGCAATTGAGTGGGACCGAGAATCACATAGCCTT